TTACATGTAGGAAAAAGCAACTATGCCCAACCTACCGAGAACCCAGGTTTATCACTAACTTCGTAGGCAACAAACGCAAAACAGAGAAATCTGGTTATATATTTCATCTGACACAAAACACGCCAATTCCTTTTCACACAGAATCATTAAAATGTAAAAAGTCATAGCGACTCTAGTCTCTTCTTCCACCCAGCCTGCTTATCACTCAAACATTTACTTCTTGATTTTCTCTTTGTTGTGCACTTTCCTGTGGAAAAAGAGGCATTTGTGTGCACAATGCCTCTTGCCCACAACCTCGTCTTCAGTCATGCATGTTGTTCTTCAGGGTGTGGCTTACATGCCACATGCTCTACAGAGGCCTCCCCTCCTCTCCAGGTGGAGCTGGTCATCAGCTGCACCCTCACATCACTTTGGCCAGCCCTCATTTTGGGTACTTACCACATTGTACTGTGACTTACCTGCTGTAGGGATCTGCATTCATCAGCCTGAATGGTTCACAAGGAGAAATTCTAGAGGTCTAACATTTTTCTGTGTATTACCCTGGCACGCAACACAAGACAGGCATTCAATTAAATATTAAATGAGTCAATTTATTGCACGTTTCCTTATATAATCATCATTTAGCAACATAATAAATAAAAGAATTTGATAAGCTTTTCAGGGTTTGTAGTAATTCTCACCACCCGGCCTTCTCTGACCCTTGCTAACACCAAAGGTTTTAACTATAAGGGCTTCAGCTAGTGAAACTCTTTTTTAGCAATTGACCTTAGCACAGGAAAATATCTCAAGTACTGAGGAATACATGGATAACACAGACTCTTACATGTTTTTCTCAAATATTAGTCAGTTTCTCATAGGAGCTGAGCAAATAATTAAAACCAGAGCACCTGCCAATTGAGAAAAATCACCATGCTTTGGCTCTCACACGCACAGGTGACAAGACTGACATCGGGAGGTTAAGGGTCGAGTGTCGTTTCTTTTGGTTGGGGGATCTCTTTTCCCTAACAAACAACTTCTAGGTTTGTGAAGAGTTTAAACAAATCTCAGTAGACCAGTTTTGTAAATAAAGTATTACAGAAATTATTTTAGCTTGGAAATACACAAATAGCTTACCACCAGTGTGTGCTTTGCCATGGGAAAACCTTAAAATCGTTCCTGAGGAATGTCTAGTTTTCAGTGGCATTGTCACATGGTGATTTGGGATTTTGAAGAAATAAAGCTGGGGCTAGAATATTGAAGGTTGTGAATGCCAACATAAGCATTTGAACTTTACTGCATATTCAGTGAGAGCCACTGAAAATATTTCAGCAGAAAAATAATAGGCCTGGTTCTCCTTGTGGCTGTGATGTGAGGAATGGCTGAGAGTTGGGGAAGAGGAAGGAGGGATGTGAGGTAACAGTCTTCCACTTTTTCTTGAATAATATTAGACATTACTTCTTGTCTCCCATAATTTCTTTGATGTGGATCTTTTATCACTCATCATTTATAAAATACCCAAGAAGTTTCCCTGTGAAAGGGTGTTACTTATTGAGTACTGCAAAAACTACCTGTTAGAAAACAAATGCTGTTAAGGAAAACAAACCACATGAACTGTTTAATGTAGGCTTGTAGGAGCTTCCCTACCTTTGTTGGGCCTCTGACTCTATGTAAGAATATGGTTTGACATTCAGAAACAGCTAAGAGCCACAGCCACACTACACTTCACTACAGCGGAAGAAAATGCCCCATTTCACAGGAGAGTCTTTGTCCTTGGCTTTTCCTCAGTACCCCTCCCCCATTCTTCCTCCCAAAGATTTCATTTCGCAGCAATGAAGAGCAAAGAGGACCCTGAAAAAGAGCTTTCATTTTTAAAGTTAACATTAAGATGGCTTGGTTTGGTTTTTGTACTTTCACTGGAGAAAAATATACACTGTGTGTTTCTGTCATGGGTTTGCTTAGTTTCTTGTGATTGGTATTGCCAGTATTTGGTCCTTGTTCCTCTGCAAACTACTTAGGGACAGGCTGGTAGACACAGAAGGTTTTAGACTCACAGGATTCTCCCTTTGCCACACTCAGTGTTAGCATAACCTAAAAGTTCCTGCTCCAGAACTCTGGCCAGAAATCCCATTCTTGGGCATCCTCAAATGTTTGGCACCAGCATAAATGAGAGTTAAGTTGGCAGAATAAAAGCAAAACTGAGGAAGGAAGAGAGGAGAGATCATAAGGATAGGAGCGTAGTGAGTGACGACTGAGCTCTGAGATGGCTTTTTCATGTGGTTTGAAAAGATCTTTGGCAGCAGCTCCAAAAGAGAAGTTTCAAAAAAGCTCTAAGAAATACCAGTGTCACTACTGTAAGTGTATGGCCACCTCAGGGTATCATTTTAAACGGTAATAATTTGATTCTATGACTTATGATGAATTTTTTTTTTAAAGATTTATTTATGCTTCCACTGGGGTACAGGCCAGAGCGGTGGTGGGTGAGAAGATTCACCAGAGACAGAGTGGGGAGCAGAACAGGCAGATCAACTGAAATACGCTGCTGAGGGGAGCAGCAGGCGCATCAGGAGAGGTCTGCCATACCACGTGGGTGAGCTCCCTGGCAGGGGATTGAACTTGTGCTGCAGTGGCTTCAGAGAGCTTCATAATGTGGTTCTTTAACCCATTGTGCCACCAGGGAGAGCCCTTGATGATAAATTTATTTTTTAAAAGCACTGCTTTAATCTTTCAATTAAATATAAAAAGCACTCTGAAATGGTCATAAACCAAAAATATTACATATCTATAACATAGGTATCACTCTCTATATATGCAGATATCACTATATATCTATATTATATATAACATAGATATCAACAATAAATGTAAGCTATGTAGGTAATATGAAACATCTTAAATTTTATAGTCTATTGACCGAATTCACCTAGATAATATTTCTGCACTGGCCACCATTAAAAACTGAAGCAGCTGGACTTGGTAAACAAAGAGGATTTTAAAAAAAGTGCAAACGAACACATGAGCAGTCTCAGCGTAAGCATGCCTGAAAGAAAGGATGGCTGAATGAGCTGTGTGGCTCACTTCAGTGCAGTGCAGAGAAGCAGCACTGAGCGCTGGGAGTTGTGCAGTTCAGCAGACCTGGCTAACATCTTAGCTGCATCCTCTGTAGTTGAATAACCTTTAATAAACTAATTTTTCTGAGACGCATTTTCCTTACCTGCAAAAGGTATGTCTGGCAAACAGAAGATCCTACTACCAGTTCTTCTCTAACAGTTATCTCAAACGGAGGGTAGTAGCCCATTGGTAAATCATGAAGCCAGGAGTAATGAGTTGCAACCAACACATTTTTGAAACTGGAAAAAATCAAAGTGTCCTAATCCCAATAGTGAGTACTCTATTCTTCATATGCTGAGTTTTAATATAACATTTTTTCATTATTGGTTACAAGCAAAAAGGTTCAAATTCTCAGCTCTAAAACGTCTCAGGTCATTACACCAAATGTCTTTAGATGTGCTGCCTTTCTCTAAAATGAGCCTCTATAAATTTTAAAACCTTAAAAATGTTCCTTACCTTCAACTTGTTACAGTAAAAATGAGACATGAATCGTAAAGAAGATTTAAATTAAATTAAATTTAATTTAATACTGCAGGGCATTTAATTTTAAGATCAGTTGCTATGTCATATTGACTAATGTCTACTTTTAAATACTTTATCACTTATGGATACGATCTGCAGTTGATTAAACACCTACATTTCTACAAAATTTGGCTATTGGGATCTATTATCGGGAAATTAGATATCATTTCTAAATTTTAAATCATAAAACTTAAAAAAAAATCATGTCATTTACCTAAGCACAGAGCCTACTGGAATAGTATTTCAGTCCTGATGAATAGTAAAAATAAAGGCCTCGATGAGCACATGTAATGGTGCCTCACTCTGGCTCGATAGAAACCGGAGATCCCAAAACAACGCATGAGCTTCAACTACAGGCCTTTGATTTTTTTCCTCCTTTGGGTGCTGACATATAACCAGCCTGACGTTCTAATGAGTCCCCAGTCCTAGGAAGACGCAGGCTAAATGCATGCTCAGGCTTGGGTGGGCAGCCTGGAAGACTGGGTCATGCCGAAGGGTGGAATATCAGCAATCTCCGAAGTCAACGATACAACTAATCTTGATGTAGCAAATTTCAAGTTTATCATTTCAGTTGACTGGGCCATTATTAGGATCTTACCTACTGGACTGCACTTAGGAATCCTGTTTTAAATAAGCATCCTGGGCGATTCTGATCCTCATTCAGCTTTGAACACCCTTTATTAGAGGTTCAGAAAACAGAAAAAAAAAATTGAGTTCAAAAGCAATTGTTGCAACAGGTTGTCAAACACTGAATCAAAATGAGACACTTAGTCAAAATACTTTCTTCTTAGTATCATATTAAAGATACAAGTCAGCGAGCAGCAAATAACTTTGATGTTTTCTAGTTATGAAATGACAGTAAGAAATGATGCTTTCTCTCATTGAAATTCATTGGTGAAAGTCAAAAAGTATGAAAGAGAAAGGTCTTTTTAGATTAGACACAGAAGTAAAAGGTAGAATCAATAAAAGTTGTTAACAGTGAACTCAACAAGAGAGCAGTGATGAGCCATTCAAATGCCTGACTCAGGTTCAGGGTGAGAAGATTCACCAGAGACCAAGTGGGGGAGCAGAACAGGATTAATGAAGTACACAGTGGGCTAGACAGGAGAGGTCTAGCAGAGGCAGTTCCTGCCTTCTGTGGTACAGGTGCCTATTCCACGTGTCCTCAAGACAGAGGAAAGAGGGTTCTCCCTGGTGGTGCAACGGGTTAAAGCACAGCACTACGAAGCTATTGCAGCCACTGCAGCACAAGTTTGATCACCAGCCAGGGAGGTGACCCACATGGCGCGGCAGACCTCTCCTGTCTAGCCCACTGTGTACTTCATTAATCCTGTTCTGCTCCCCCACTTGGTCTCTGGTGAATCTTCTCACCCTGAACCTCTGTCCTGTACCCCAATTCTGTATGCATAAATAAATAACAAAAATCTTAAAAAGTAAAAGAGAGGGTAGAGTAAGGCAGAGGGTGCTTCCTTCCTATTTCGAGTTCAGGTTACAGAATGATTTTGCCTCAATTCTTTTCCCCCTTAAATTTACAAGCTTTCTGTTGTTTAAGTAGGTATTGTGTTGGCTGGACCATGCTTGCTGTCAAGGTCAAGGGTTAGGATTAGCACCAGAAATCCTTCATCAGCACTGAGTCTTGGCACCAGGTTTGGCTCATCACCATCTTGAAAGTAAGAAAAGCCATAAATGTCGTTCTCGGGGAGAAGCAGCACTGTGAAATTGAAGGAAAGCACAGGAGCTAGCAAAGCAGCAAGAGAGGGTGGTAGTTACAGAAATGAGGTAGTTCTCAGCTCCTGCCAGGGGCCACTGAAAGGACTCAGGATCAGAAACACCCAGTGTGGTAAGGAAGAGGCCCCAAGAAGTGACCTCAGAGCTCCCCCCTCACCTGCTGATCTTTTCACTCAAACTCTAATGATGTTGGAAGTATTTGTAGCTTCGTTCCCTCCTTTTTAGTCCTCTCCTCTCCTCTCATTTTTTTCCCTACAGGTTTTGGGAAAGGAAAGGATGAACACAGATGGGAGACATCGGAATAAATAGATTACGAGGAAAGTCCTCATTTCACATGGGTTGATTTTACCCCACAAATCAAAGAACTCAAAATGGCAAGGGAGGGAAGGCAAAGAACACTGGATCTTCGAAATCAGGACAGGTGGACTGAGCAACCTTAACGGCTGGCTTAATAAATCTTCTGGCACTTGAGAGTTTGTGTTCTTTATTTAGCGAGGCAGAAGAGCTGAGAAAACAAGCCGGTGTCGCAAATTCAGATACCTAGAAGAAAAGATAGGCCTCACTTCTCATTTTCTTACTAATTTCCTTCACCGGCAAATACCAAACTGTTCACCAAACAGACTCCATTATGTGGTTCCTTGTGCCCCTCACGAAATCCTGACTTCACTATCTGATAAGACGGGCTCCTGCACTCTTCTCCTCACTGACAAGCCTAAGTAATCTTTTAGGAAGATAATCAAGCCTGAAGGTGTCCAAGTCTACATTTTCACACTCAAGTCTTTAGCAAAGTTATGGGTCAGTCTTCACATTTCCAGGCAGAAAATCAGCTCCCTGGCAGTCTTTAAATTTTACCTGATAAACATTATATATCTTCAATCTCTAACACCCAGCACACAGCAAAATGTATCCACTCGTCACAGTTCAATCCAACTTGAGAGTCTAATCCTGCTCCAAGAGCTGGGTGAGTGTCCAGCAGCCGCACAGGTCCTCCTTAGGATAGACATGTTGGTGCCACTAAAAACGAAGTGTGGTTTTAACTGCATTTCTTGTCAGTCTGGCTGGGGAGATCTGGACAGCTGGAAGTGAGCTTCTCCATCATTTTCTGTTTCTTTCTTTGTATCAATTTTCCACCTGTGAAGCCCAACACCCCACCACCAAGTGCAGCTGCAATTCCTGCCACTTTGAAGCCTGCAAGGAGGCCAATCGGACCCCCTACCACTCCTCCGATGAGTGCACCTGCCACAGGCAGAGCTGCCAGCTTGTATTTTGCAGCCTGTAAAAAAAAAATTCAATTTAGAAATTGAGTTGAGAATATCTGCCTGTGGTGATGTGCATTTTCCTCTCATTACTCCTGGCAATGCCTCTTTAACTCTTGGTACATAATTAACCTTAGAGACTGTACTGGGGGTGGCTGGGTAAGGGAAGGGAGGATTCCACAGGTAGTAGAATTGCTCCAGATCTCAGAAATGAGAAAAAAAGAGGTGAGACGAGCAGGCTGCAAATTGATTTTACTTGCAAAACAATCAATCCACTAACTATCTAGCTGGCTTATTTAAACAGGTTCAGCAGCCACGGATCCTTCAAGCTTTTATGTTGAACGGAGATCATTCCATGCGATGTACCTGGGGTTAAAAACAACATTCTGTGGCAAATAGCTGGTCCCACTCCACGAGTGCTGTCTCTCTCTCTCCTGCTGCATTCTAGCCCTTCTCTTGTAACAGGAAATGCCTTAGAGTGGGTTTTGGTTTGCTGTCTGAAAAAACCCCTCTCCCGACAGAATGAACCTTAGAGTAGAATATTACAACAGCCATTGATTTCTTGCACTACCTATGTGTCATTTCTTCCTTATTTCCTTAATTGCTGGTTCCCTCAACATTAAAGAGAGCGGATCAATTGGGTTAATACTAGAGATTCCTGGGAGCCAGAGTACCATTGATTTGTCAGCGGGAGCAGAATCTTACCTTCCCCAAGTTTTTGGTTCCCTCTTCAACATTCACAGCAGCACTGTTGACATGGTCTTCAATGCTGTCAATCTTCTCCTGCTGAGACTAGATGCAAAGGAATTATGAGTGAGCGGTCCTGCTGGGGAGCAGCAGTCAGCCAATACACACTATTTTAATTCCTGTAATCAGGGCTCCGTGTACGGCAGTCTTGCAGTCTTAATAGCAGTTCATTAATAGCATCTGATAAACCATGTCGAAAGTACAAATTCACTTGCATGAAGAAAAAAGAGGGCAACTTAATTATTAGGTAATAAAAGGGTGGCACCTTTATAGTGAAAAGCATCTCACATGAAAATTCATTCAAACGTACAAACATAGTATTCTCCAAATAAATGTACTTTCTAGGAGGAAAAACACACAAAAAGCTTTTACATGTCATGTTGGGGTTGATGGAAAATAAGAAAAAGAAATACAAAACCAATCAACCAATCAAAAATCTTCCTAACTTTATTTACTCCTTTGAGTATTCTATTTAATACACCCTTGATCCTATAAATACAAATTACTGCATTCCAGGAGTAAGAATGCAATATGGTTTGATTTACCATGAACTCTTTCCACTTCTGATAGGTAGTAGGTAGCAGTGAATGGATTGACTGTATTTCACACATCACGATGTTACAATGCTCCAGCTCAAGTGTTTTAATAAAGCATTGTACACAGAACAACAGCCCCTGCACTGATACAGCAGAAACTGGCTGTGACTGCAAGGAGAGTGCACAAGGTTAGTGTGACTTCCCCTCGGGTGTGTGAAGTGTCCCCACTCCATTTCTCAAGTGGCTCCTGAGCTTCTGCTAAAATACCTTCAGTGACAGGAACTCATTATTTGTCACAGGCTCACATTCCCATTTTAAAATAAGCTTATTTAGACAGCACTTATAGGATGTATATACAGTGACATCCATTCACTTTTAGGGTAGGGTCTCATGAGCTCTGACCGTGTGTGACCATCATACATGACACACAGAGCACTTTTTTAATTCCCAGGGAAAAAAGAGAGACTCTCTTTGATCCCAGCTTCATGCCAACTTCTACAATGACTGTGAAATAATTAAACTTTGATTTTCAGGTATGTGACTGCTCTTATAGAAATATCTCTTCACTTACACTGAAACAGATAAAACTAGCACTCATCCTAACCCCAGTTATCTCCTGGGAAAATGGTGCCCAAATAACACCATTCATTCCCCTCAGGTGCCTCCTATGGGCATCCCCGACTCCTTCCCTCTCCACCTGTCCAGAGTGTTAATCGTTCAGGGCATTCTTTCACTCCCGTGTTCCCACCACTAGCTTCACATCTCCACACAATCCCTAAGCAGTCCTTTTATCAGTTTCCTTCCAACTCTAGCAGAGGTTCTCTGTTGAGTGAACACCACAATCACTTTGAGGACTCTAAATACAGGGGTGGGAAGTAAGACAGCATTTCATTTAGTCCTGCCATGCTTTTTATAAAGCTTGGTGCAGTCAAATAACAGCCTAAGGACACACAGGCAGTAGATGGAGGTGTCGGATATAAGCTCCGGGTCTCCTGGACTACAAGTAAGGCTGGTTCTACAGTGAAAGGAGAGTGTGCTTTAAGAAATGGAAGAAAAATGCCAGGGAGGCCTAGCAGACAAAACTCATTGATATCTACTGGGTTACACCTGTACTATCAATGGCTTTGTAGATTCTTTTATAAATGTGGTAGAAACTATAGACCATTTAACCATTTTTGTAGTTTGCAATTTAGTGACATTAAGTACAATCACAGTGTTGTACACTATCACAGCTGTCCCACAGGTTTGTACTGTTCTTCATTCTTCATTGATTTGACTTAGCATGGTATCACACTCCACAAATACATGGTTAATTTGTCTAGATGCTATCAAGTCCATGTGATGGTAATGAGAGGATGTGGTGATTCTAGTTATGTTCCCAAGTCATTTGGGGCCTAAATGGAGCTTCTGTGAGTCCTTGACCAGATGGTCATGAGAACTCAGTCACCCTGGGAATAATAATCAGGGGTTCTCCTTTGAGCTTTTGCTTAATAGCATTGTTTCATGTCCTTACACAGATTCTTATAAATGGGACATTTGTATACAGCTATGGCGATAGCTAAAGCACTTCTGCATGAACTGTTCTTAGATGAAATGTTAGAAGATGCTTACAAAACCCAATCAGATAATAAACTGCTAAATGACCATAAACATTCAACTTTCTTTCCACATACTATCCTTTTGGAAGGGAAATGTGTTTGTCTTGAATGAAAAGAATTCTCTATATATCCAATTTATTTTTAATCAACTTTCTTGAGGTATACTTTGCATGCATTATAACTCACACATTTTAAAGTGTACAATGCATATATTTGTGTAACCTTAGATATACAGATTTTATAAATGCATGAGATCAGAGATGATGAGTTACAATAATTGAATAAATCTTGATACTACTCTGGGATTCTGATTCTTGTACCTTTCCCTTTTTATATAAGTACATTAATAGGCTATGTGGACAGCTAATCTAGAAACTTCAAATTTTTTATTCTCCTGACTTAGAGGTATCAAAAAAGAGAATGCTTCAAATAATTTACTACCTCAACATTAAATATTACACTTTAAGAAAAAGAATCCACAAACTAGAACACAAGCTTTTCCAGAAGGAAAAAACACTTCAGAGAATCAAAGGTTCACAAGAGCAGGAAATATGGTGAGATGGGGTATTGTGAACAGAATGTTTACAATGAACTTAATGTAAAATATGAATGTGCTGATTCCCAATGATGAACTCCTGAAACCCACATGATGTTGCGATGCAATGTTACATAAAAAAAAAAAAGTTGAGGAAAAACCCCAACTTTTATATGGAAAACAGACAAAACTTGTTTAGTATATGGCTCCAGAGAGCAAAGGTACCACAGGGAAGTTACCAGCATTTAGTTTCTGCAAGGAAAATGTGTAAGAGAGTCTTCAAATGGAAAGAATAGAGTATGAATTATTCCTGCACCATAAATGTCAAAGAGGCAAAAGACAGAGTAGAGATCTATTTTGAGAAGTTGGGGAAAGAGGAAGAGTTTAGGTGGTTTCTTAAAACCTTTCTAATCCCAATTCTGAGGTTTTGTGAACTAGGAACTTGCCAGATGTAAAGCTCCCAGATGGCTCGATCAAGAACACGACCTAGATAGCAGTATAAGCACAAACAGGTTTGTGCCCATATGTACACCACGCATCCAACCTTCTCACAATTCCAATGAGGAAAAAATGAAAATAATTCCACCTTTCCTACTGAATCTACTTTGTGTTCCTTAATCTGTTAACCTTTTCTCTGGTTCCCCAATTATGCGATATAAAGCCTAATGTTTCCTATGTGACTCGTAAGCTTTCTACTAAGTGTACCCCAGAAAAAACCCTCAGCTCTCCTTTATACTTGTTGGCATTGCTTTCAGTTAAACTCTTGAAATTAATCTCTAACCAGTAGTTTTGCTTATAATCGCCCCCTCCCCAATACCTATTTTTCACACTAACAGTGATCACTCTGAAGCACAAATTGTATCACATTAATCTAACCTCCTCAAAAATCTGTACTGGCTCCTTAATGCCTGCAAAGTGATGTTCAAATTAGTACGACCTCACTGCAGCAAAAGTTCAATCCCTGGCCAGGGAGGTGACCACATGGCGCGGCAGACCTCTCCTGACCCACCCACTGCTCCCCTCAGCAGTGTACTTCGTCCATCTGCCTGTTCTGCTTCCTACACTGTCTCTGATGAATCCTCTCACCCCCTGTATCTCTGGCCTACACCCCAATTCTTGAATGCATAAATAAATAAATCTTTAAAAAAAAAAACCCAGGAATAAAACACCTCCACAAATTAGTGTGGTCTCCAATTTCATCATAATCTGACCCTTCACACCCCTTGCTTTGCTTTTCCTTGGTGTCTTGTGCCATGGACACATTCCAGTACTTGTCATTCCTGAGAATCCATATATCCTCTGCTCTATACCAAGTCTTCTTCAGTTGCACTTACCTGCACTCCCCCCTTCCCACCTGTGGACATTTCACTCATTTTTTCAAGGCTTAAGTAAATGCTACCTATTTTTTGACACTGTCCTTAATAGTTCCACCTCATAACTCCTGCCTCCCTCTCCTGGAGGAAAAGCGTTTCCTTGGAGCTGATAATATGTTCTCATACCATTTTTGCTTAATAATGATTTTGAAATTTCCATTTTTTTTAGATACAGGTTTACCTCCACCAACTAAAATTTTTTTTATTATTAATAATATAATAATTTATTTTTACATCATTTTGTGCATCTCAGTTGTAATCCCTGTGGGCTTCCCTCCCATCACCAAATCACCTGTGTGCCATCACCATAGCCAACTAAAATTTCTGAAGGCAAAAAGCAGGCTTCACTTATTTCTATATCTAACCTCATCAGACCACAAACAGCAGAGATCTAACACTGTGCATGTTTATATAATATGTGCTTAGTACAAGTTTATTAAACTGATCTGGAATTTGAGAACAATTACACTTTCACCTATGACTCTATACTAGTCTGAGAAAGTGTAACTTCTATGAAAGTTCTAAAGCCTAGTGACTAATATGTCTTTTATCTGATTAACCTAATAGTTTTGAGTCCGAGACAGATACTTACCATCACTAGAAGAGAGAAATCAGTGACCAGCTGGCTAAGTTCAATTAAGTCCTTAAAAAAAAAGAAACGGAAAGGAATTACTTACTTCTATGCCTTTTATTTTTCCAAAGGAAAAAAAAAAGAAACAAAATGATGTTAACATACTGCTTCTAAGTTTTCCCATGATTCTGCAGCATTTTGGTCTCGGGGAATTTCAGGCAATGCATAGATCTGAGTCAAACTCTGGGGTTCAGCTTCAGCCTCAGTGGTGTCAAGTACTCCTGGAGGAACACAGCCCCATGTTTGCAGTTTATTTGCTTTGTTAGAAAGTCAATAGTATGAATCAATTTCATAAAACAACCGCTATGCAAAATGCCTACCAACTAAATTCAGACTAAAAGCAAATTGATCTACAAAAATAAATTCATCCACAGGCAGACCATACTGAGGTTAGTTAACAAATATTTTTTTCTGTAATTATTCTACAAAATCAACTAAAAAAAAAGGCTACAAATGCTATCTGTTCATTCTGAATAACTCAGGCTATGTGTAGAAGAAATACCAAAGTCTGGCTAATGTCCTGAAGAAATGTTCAGTAGTTATAGGTTTAATAGTTTTTCATGGCTATATCATTAACCTCTTCTTTGACTGTTTTAGTCATAAATAAATTAGCTTTACAAATTGTTAAAAGTAGGGGTGGGGTATGTTGTCAACAATGAAAGTTAGTACTGGTAACAATTTGTTATCACACTAGGCCTCTGGTCATATGTATCTTTCTGTGCACATTGTCACCCTTTTTCTGGTCCACGCCTCCACTACTTCTCTGCCTTTTGAGTTTAAGAACGTCATCAACCCAACAGGGCTTTCCTCACCAAACACAGCCTTGATGATGAATTAATTATGCTCCAAACTCAACCTCAAGGATTTCTTATTTTCTTGAATTGACTTTATCAATCATTCATTCATTAAACTGATAGTTATTAAGTGCCTACTCCATTGCCAAGCAATGTGCTAAGGTGCTGGGACACGAAGGCAAACCCTAAAAGCTGTTTCAAGGAGTCAACATGCATAATGATTAGTAGCATGAGCCTCAGCAGAAAGACCAGAATTAGAACTGGTTTGGTTATTTAACTAGCTCTTTAGCTCAGCTATGGATTCAAAGTCAATGACCTTTTTGACTTATTTTTTAACAAAGTGGTACTTTACACTGGGCCTGGCTTACCTATCAGGTAAAACTGTTAATTACTGCTATTGCCATTTAATTAATGAAACCTACTACATAATGTGTCCTATAGACAGGTTACAAGGTAAATTCAGTATAATAATTGTGATATGGTTACGTGTGGAATGCTGTGTAAGCACACAAGAGAGTTATTTAACAGACTTGTGGAGAAGAGTGGCCTGAGAAGGTGGTGAAGTTGAAGCTACTCTAACCAGAAATTATATTGGTGAACTGGGACAAAGGTGCTGACAGAAGCAGAAATCAGGGAGAATAATGTGTGCACGGGTTGAGAACTGAACAGAATTCAGAAAAGCTGAAGCAAACAGATTATATCCGGGAAAATGCAAAGGTTGAGGCTAGAGATCTAAGGTGCCATTATTCACAGCCCTGTATTATGTCTCAGAGTTTTGTCTTTCTCATAAGATCAGTACGGAATGATGGAAAGGAGTCGAAGGCTATTTGGAAGCTGGAGGGTGCCATAATCAGATTTCAGACTAAGAAGGGTAGCACAGCCATTTTGTGAGATATAGTTTAAGGATGGAGTTGAAAGGTGAAAACCCCGTTGGAAGGCTTTGCAGAATGTCCACTGCAAACTGATGACGGTCTGCTCTGAGACAGGAGCTATGGAAATGGCACGAAGAGAATAGCAGGTCTTTTGTTTTGTCCCTTACTTTAAGCTCAAAACACTCCCCATTTGAACGTTTTCTGAGCATGCTGGGTTCTGTGCTGGGTACCAGGAAAAAAAAAGTAGATAATACAAAGTAGTTGCTGAAGAAATTTATATTCTATTAGAGTTAAACAGAGAAGGCAACCCTAAAATAATCAGAAAGCACACTGGTATACAGATGTGGACATGTACAACATTTAGTGGGCATTAAATGGAGGAGGCAGCGGACCTGCTGGTATGCAATTTAGGGTACAGCTTCCCAGAAAGGTGATCTTATTAGGCAAAGCAGAGAGAAACAGAAATTCTAGAGAGACCATTATAAAGATGCTCTCAAAAAAGAAACACTATAGTTTAACATAAAACCAACAGTTTGGTCTTGCCAAAGCATAAAGTGAAAGACAGAGAATTACAAATATAAGACATTACAGATGGTTAGGAAGGGCCCCGCAGGCCAGTTAAAGACGTAGGGCTTTATCTGACAGACAGTGGAGTAACGGAGGGATTATAAAAAGGGAAATGACAGAGATATCTGCTACTTAATTTATTCCTAAAAAATAAATTATTATAACCTTAAATTCATCTCTGTCTCAATTTTTTCTTTCATCCTAGCCTACAACTGAACAGTAATTTATAAAACTGCACTATTAGTTTACCTTCAAGATTTATGATTATTTTACCTATCCAGTAAAAATCTGTTTGAATTGTTTAGGCAAGGCATAGTCAGTTGACTAAAAAGCAACTTGTAAGCTTATGAGAATGGACAATGTCTTTTAAATTTGAATTTCAATTTATCTGAAAACATTTCTTTATCTTAAATACCAGGTACACAGTAAGTTTCATATTACATTATGGCAAGTGTCCAACTTCTTTTTTTAAGACTTATGTATTTATGTACACAAGAGCTGGGGTGTAGTCCAGTGATGCAGGATGTGAGAGGAGTCAACAGATACAGACTGGGGAGCAAAGCAGGCAGACTGACTGAAATACACTGCTGAGGGGAGCGGTGAGCAAGACAGGAGAGGTCTACTTGCACCGTGTAGGTCACCTCCCTGGCTGGCGACTGAACACGTGCTGCAGTGGCTGTGGATAGCTTCATAGTGCTGAGACTTAGCCCCTTGTGTCACCAGGGAAGTCCAAGAAGCCAACATTTCAAAAGTTCTTTCTGATTTTAGCAAATGCTTAAAAGTGTTATTTACCCTATGTCCTAAGTTAACACAGAAGGGCTTTCATTCTTGCTTCATTCAAAATAAATTAATTATATCCTAAGACCTTACTTATACTTAATATTCTGACAGTAGAAAGAACTCCAGCATCTTCAATATCATGGTGAATAATGACAACTTTGTTAACTGATATCATAAACAGAAGCAGAACTTTATAAAGGTTACATCCACCTGAAGATTTTTTGGTATCATTATCTTTGTACTATTAAAGAGAATTTGAATGAAGTATTTTTATATAACAAAATAAACAGATTGTCATGCAGAAATTCTTGATCTAAAAAAAAAAACAAAGGGATGGGAAATGTTTGACATTTTAAGCAAACATAAAAGATTTTCCTCAGTGAAAATCAAGAAATGTTTTAAGTCTTTCACATCTCACTTGAAACCAAACTGCGTATGCATCTTAGTTCAAATGGAGTCTTAGGACAAAGAGATCTATTTTCCTTCATGGAAATTCCTGCTGTAAACTTACAACTCTGAACATCACTAATCAATTCAAGGCATGACTAATAATAAGAAAGGAAACCCTTTAATTTCTGCAACTTTCATAAATTATGCATTCCAGCCTGTATTAGCAACTGGTTCTAAACTTTCATAAAGTGTTACATTCATGAGGTGGCAAAACACTGAAACAGATTATAGATGAAGAAAACCAGGATGAAGAATTCTTAACCTGTCTATATTTGTCAAAGTCTCCATTGTTTTATATGATGTATTTTTGAATAATTCTGTCCATATGCAAATAGCTTAATTAAAATGAAAATGACTTTTAAGTGAAGGCTTAATTTTTGCTGCAAAAGCGGACATTTATGAAAATTAAAGCCAAAAGAAAATAGATATTCTGAATAATACACAAAACCTTTTACATGTTTCACAATCTGCTCAGTACATGAATATACTTGTGATATAATCTAATATCTCATCAAACTCAATATTCTTGACTGTAATTCCCAGCAGTATTAAGATTGGATTCTCTTTTGTGAATATTTGTTTAAAATGCAGTAAGATTCTGCCCCTATTGCGCTGGTGAAGTGTGTGTGCTGGATGGCATGCCATGTAAGAGAGACAAAGATGGAGAGGAGCACTTACTCACAGTGGATGACTTTATACACCTTTCTAAACACAAATCAGATCTGTAGGCTCATCACTTCTCTTGGTGGGAAGCAATATGCTAAGAATGAAACTACACACACAAGTGAGACAGAAGGGAGTTTCTCAGATCAAACAAGATTGGCAGAAAAGATTTACTTTAGGAACTCTCAGAATCTGGACAAAAGAAACAGCAAAATCATCACAGCTTCCCTCTAAGTTTAATAAGCTGCTTTCATTCTGCAGAGAACATAAAGCATCCTATTCCATTTGTTATTTCTATCTGTAAATGAAAAACTATTTTTGTATTTCACTCATGGAAATATGGCAATACTGCTTCGGAATCTTTGCTGATGTTTCCAATCAATTTATTTAGAATCAGATTGAATTTTTAAAGGAAAAAGTATTTTAAGGCACCTCTATGCAAATAAAATACATTTTTCTGTATAGGCTGTCACTACTATAATGAGTATCTAAAGCAAAAATAAGGAAAACCAGAGAGCACAGGATAAAAACACACAAAATGACGGAGAAGTCTACAGCTTAGAAAAATACATAGGAGCGAGCCCAATTCCTACCCCACTATTAAAGTCCTTGTATATTACTTTCCTTTCATTGTTCTTCTTTTCCATTTTTTCAATCATTTGTTAATACTATTTTGGAATTAAAGGCACACTAGAGAAAACTCTCACCCGTGGTAAGGCACTTAGGCACCTGATTTCTAACTGTGTTTTCTTGGGAATAGATTCAAAGTCAAAACACAATCAAACCACATATCATCTGGAATATGAAATTATACCTACTGTTTCAGGGGTAATTTGGGTGTGTAGTTTTACAAATGAAATAACTACTTTCATCAAGTCAGCAGTAGTGTAGTTTTCTCTCAGTGCCAATTGATTAGGTCTTTAGCCAATTTGGGGTTACATGAATCGAGAAGTATGAGATGAAATAGCTGTAAAGTTCAGCTACTATTTCTTCTGTCTTATCCCTTGGCTCTGACCCAATTTTTTTTATTTCCTTTGTACATGTTTCTTCAAAATTTCCCAACAATTTTGTCATGGTAGTCAGCTCCTTACAGGGAAAACTGATGGCAGAGTGGTAGACTGCCTTCTTCTAATAACCCTGCAGTTTCCCTGAAGATATACATATCCAAGTTAGCTGAGCCCAGACTGGTCTGTGGATGGAAATACAATTTTAAAAAAAAGTATTAGATATCACAACATTGTAATAAAACTCTCAGAACACAATATTTTTGTTTGCTAAATAGCAAATGAGTGATGCTACAGACTCCAGAAATTCAGCTTATCTTCACTATGATTACTGCCTTGACAAATGTCACAATATCTGGGTAGTTAGGATGGCCTTTCAAGTCACACAAAGCTGTAAATAAAAAGGCCATTTTCTCTGTACATCCACATAAAGAGTCAGTTTTCACCAAATGAACAGAATAGATTTCAGCCTCGTCAATACAGTGATAACTATATGAACCAAATAATGTCAACAGTAGCTCTAACCAATTGAGTGTTTACATTTCCTTTTCCCCAAAACATTTTATGGGTACTAGTTACACACAGAGTGAAGTGATTAGAGCACATCTGAAATTACCAAACTGATTTGGAAAAGATGCATTCATCCATACTGGTGAAAAATTAATGTTCCACTATATGCCAAGCACCATGTATTATGTGCAAGGTGCTTTGTATACAATAAAAGCAAGATTACCCAGAAATTCTGGATGATGGCGTAAATGCTTTTCCATTACTATTTTTTAAATTTCCCTGTGAATGACTAGAACATCAGCACTGAAAATAAAAGTTGTAAACACCTGGTTTTGGAAGGCAGAAGTAGTATAGGAGCATCCTGGGTAAATAAAAACAGAAAAATTGGACAAGTACAGGATCTCTCAAATTCTATTCTAAGCTGTAATTTATTTATACCCTACCTTTCCCATTAAGATTTAAGGTAACTTAGATTTATGAAATGTTAACAAGATGGAGTCCAGCAAGATGGTGGCAAGACACTAAGTTAACCTACCAAACACACAAAATGAACATAAAACAAGGCCCCAAAACCCTGGGGGAAAACTGACTACCACCACACATACTGGGAACATCCACCTGACGTAAAGGGTTAGGAAACATGTTATGTGAACTCCGCTTAAAGTGACAACAGATACTATCACCCATAAGATGGAGCAATGACTGTGGTGCAGAGCCCACTAGAGTCAGTCACTTGGGCACATGCCAACACTGGGTCTTCTAATAAATGGTACTGGGAAAACTAGAAAATGATACATAAAAGAGTGAGGCTGGATTACTTGCAAACACTATACACAAAGTAAATTCCAAATGGATTAATGAATTATATATAAACCTGCAACAATAAAATACTTTGAAGAAAATACTGGTGCTATGTTCTGTATCAATAATAAAGATATTTTGGTGATTCAACCCTTATGGCAAGGGAATTAAGACCAAAAATAAACAACTGGGATGGCCTCAATTTTGAAAGCTTCTAGGCAGCAAAGGAAAATACAAGATGATTAAGTAGACACCCTGTTGGATGGGAGAAAGTATTTATACAATATGTAAATATTAAGGAATTAGTATCTAAGATATCTAAAAAACTCACAAAATTCTACAATAAAAAAATATAATTAACAAATGGACAGCAACTATAAATAATTCACCAAAGAGGACATCCAGAGGCCAAAAGACACAAGAAAAAAAATGTTCAACATCATCTCTAATAAGAGAAAGGCAGATAAAAACTACAATAGATACTACCTACCTCTTACCTGTGAGAATGGCAAAGATTAAAAAGACTCCAACAACTAGTGCTGGAGGGGATGCAGAGAAAAAAGGAACCCTACCACACTATTGGTGGGAATATGAACTGGTGTAACTATTAGAGAAAACAAAAATGGAAATACCATACAACCTGGCAATTCCACTTTTGGGCACATATTCACAGAATATGACACATCAACAAAAACCCATATTCCATGATATCTGCAACAACATTATTCACAGTATCTAGAAGAGAGAAGCAGTCTGAATCTCCTTCAGATGAATGGATCAAGAAGATGTGGTACATACACACTACAGAATGTAATATTGCCACAAGAAAGGATGAGATGCAGCCATTTTCAACAATATGAAGGGAATTTGCGTGAATTAAGTAAAATAAAGTAAGTTAGAACAATGAAACAAATACAGGATATTCACATAGCAGCTCTTATAGCTTACATTTGATAGCATAAACACTTTTAAAAACTATTTAACTTAAATAAACATCCTGAGGGCTCTGAAGTTAAGAGAGGTGGGAGCGAGGGAAAAGGAGAAGAAGGCACAAGGATAGTGGTGGGAGGAAAAACATTTATAGCAGAAATTATGGGGTAGAATGTAAGCATCCTCATTACATTGCAATAAGAAGTTGGTAGATGAGAGATTTATATATTTATATACACAATGACTGTCAATGATCAGTGGTCTAACAATTTGCTTTATCAAGTGGATCATAGCCTCATTTGCATACAAAAAAGAAAAAAAAGTATCAAAGACTTTTGGACTTGGAAGGAGGAGCAGGCTTTAATGCTGTGCCAAGGATCATTCTAAGAGCCTAAGCCAGGAAAAAAAATGTTAAGTAAATGACAAAAAATCAAAAATAAAACTTTAAGACCAAAAGGAAAAACAGAAAACCACAATATTTTAAAATTTTAATTTCTGGTAGTTAAATTTAGATTAAGTATTCTAATAAACAACTCAAGGAAAGAAAGAAACTTTTCTGTTATGCCATACAACACGTCTAAGGTTAATTTAAAAAATCAATTGCTTTGAAGGACTACTATGATTACACCAGCAATTATTTTTCGGGTTCCTTATAATAATGTATTCATATAATACAATTAACTATTATCAACTACATATTAGAATAAACATGAAAGCAAACTCATAGGATAGGATTTTCTCTTGGACTATCACTTCATAAAAGCTGACAGCATGACCCCTGAAACACTTTTTTTTTATGTGATTATCTAAATTTCAAAAACTAAGCATGGAAACAGATTTAACACGCCAGGTGAAAACTAGAATGCCTAAGAAAGAATTAAGTCTGTACCAACTAGCAATTAGGGAGGAGTACCCTGTAGACAAGGATGACACTCACCTTAAAAAAGACTTAAATTTTGGGCCCTCCCTGGTGGCGCAGCGGGTTAAAGCACAGCACTGAGAATCTAAAGCCGCTTCCTCATGAGTTCAATTCCCGCCTGCCCCGGAGGTGACCACATGGCGTGGCAGACCTCTCCTGACCCGCCCGCTGCTCCCCTCAGCAGTGTATTTCGTTGATCTGCCTGTTCTGCACTCCACTCTGTCTCTGGTGAATTCTCTCACCCTCCACATCTCTGGCCTGTATCCTAGTTCTGTATGCACAAATAAAATAAAATCTTTAAAAAAAAAAAAAAAACTTAAATTTTATTTTCACTCTATAAATAAAAGGCACTTGAAGGCTGTACTCTATACTCATAGTCATACAGTATCCTGCAGAACTTCATTGGTATGTATTATCAGGCATTCTCAGGGTCCAAGGATTCAATATACTGTTACAGGAAGTGAACCCTTGAGGTTTATATGTCCTCTACAGCATCTATACAAGGAGCTTAGCTTTATTTAATTGAAGGGTAAGACAGAATAATACATTACCACCAACAGTCATGGATCTGGTTAAAGAAGGCTGTAACAAAGTTTTTTCATCATTAAATTGTTTCTTAAGTTCTTCTACAGATTCCAAATGGAGTTGAAGAAATTCTGCTGTTGCTGCTGATGCTTCTGCCTTAACAGGATCGATCATTCTTTTCAGAAGTCCTAGGTCATCCTTTCGGACTTTCAAGCAAAGCTTCTCCATTTCTCGGATATTGGAGCGGAGTTGCTATAAAAGAAAAAAAATTATTAAGGCTACCATCTCTTTATTTTCAGAGGTAATTTATGACTATGGTTGTGAATGGAAATGATTATAGAATTTTCTATAATAAAAGGCATGTATAATACTTTTTTTATTTTTCACATCTCTGATAAAGTGCTTTTTTTAGAACTGACATAGTCTACTTTGAATTTATTTAGTATTTTTTCCTTTAATCAATTATGAAAAAGTATCAAGCTTTATTCATAATCAAAGGAATGGGATGGTAAAACCAGATACAGAGAATATAAAACAGGTGATTCTGGACTGGCTGGTTGTAATTGGGAAGGGGTTATGTGAGTTTTTAGGATTTCAGTAGTTTATTTCCTATCTGAGTAGTGCTTACATGAGTACACACAGCATAATTTGTTTAGGTGTGTGTTTTATTCTATAATATGTCACATTTTATGAAATAAAGCATTTAAATAACATCTCTACAAAAGAACATTATATTAACCTGAGTGGACAGTTAGACTAAGGAGAGAAGTTTGAAAGAATTTGGGTAGGAGGAAATTGACTAGCAATCTTACTATGGAAGTATACTAGCTACCACTTTGCTAGATACACAAAATCATTCATTCATTTCACTGGGAACAGAGACTATGCATAATTTCTGTGCCATTATATATGAAAGGTCACATTTGACCCCGATACACAGTTTAAGTCAATAAATGTTATATGAATGAATGCTTTCTTAACATTTTCACAGAGTGGCAACAACAGTGATGTCCACCCACCCTCCCCTCCTCCAACTATCTAGAATTCTTCCCTGGAAAGCATAAGTCACTAGCATATGAACAATTTGTGGAAGAAATAATGAAAAAAAAAAAACCTTATTTTGGGAATTAATTCTGACATACAAATATAAAACAGTGAAGTAGAAATCAAACTCATGAGAGAAAGCAACCTTGCCATCTTGGAAGTTCATAATAATTATAAAAAGGAATACTGGAAATAGTGACATATTATGGAAGTAAATCAAGTTTAGAGAAAATAGTTGTATGATGTTGTAGCAGAAATTATACTGTGATAAGATCATTTTTAAGACTTTCTAAAAAGTGAAACTCTGACACTATAAAAACAAGTAAATCTGATAGAAAGAAAAGAAAGTGGCATCTTAAGAATTCAATATGGTTGTATAAGAATGCTATGATAAGCTCTGCATTTTAAAGACTTATTTTAAAAAGGGGAGGGGGTGATAAAAAGAAAGGCATGTGAACAACCAGTCTGAAAGAGGGGTGTGAAGTGAGGAGAGCATGTAAGTAAAGAAAGCCCAGAATGAGCGGAGGCTGGTGAAAAATGTTAAGAACAATAAAAAGGATTTTAAAAACACATGCAGAGCAAGAAGAGCAAGAAAGATGGTTTGGGCCTACTGCTTAGGGCAGATGGTATAATGTTAACAGATGATGCAGAAAAGTAGAAGTTACTTGACTCCTATTTTATTTTTGATTCTTTATTAAGGAAAAAATACTCAAAATTGAAAGGAGCATAAGACACATGCTCAAAGGAAATCTGAAATAGCCTATAGAGATCTAGACAATCTTCATGAAGGAGGTGAGATTTATCTGAAAATTAATAATGGGAAAATGTAAGATACTAAGTAGGAAGAAAATACTGGGAAAAGATAGGTGGAATAAAAGGGTAGAGCTTTCTAGGAGAAAATATCTTTCCACATTTTACAGCTCTGATATTTCAACATATCTAGAAATGTATATTTTAAAAGAAAGACACTGTGCCACCTCATTGCACTTTTTCTTTCTTAAAAGTATAAAACAATGATGAGTCTTACAGCTGATGGTTCTTTAGATTTAATCTGCTCCCAGTGATTCTTCAGTATCTGCGTGGTCTGGATTTGGGTGTGAACTGGTTCCTGAGGTTCTGGTGACTGATTGGGGGTTAGGGAAATTTCCCCAATGAATGGGGGCCACTGTCAAAGACTGGGTCCCTGTGCAGCCCAGACTGGGACCTGCATCTGCTCCGGAGGTGCAGGTGAGTGCAGAGGGGTGACGGATTCTTACTGAAGAGTAGCTGGGGCACCAGTGACGAGTGGTCTCTGTGCAGCCCACACTTGGGCCTGTTACCTGCTGTGAGGCTCTGGTAGCTGAGCCAGGGACTGAAGGAAGGGGAGCTTTTCAAACCATAGCAAGTTGTCCCTGTTCAGAACCTCACAAAGGCTTTCTATCCAAAATTCAAGTTATTCCACTCTCAAAAGCCTTCTGTGACAAGATTCACCTGATTTCTCTGATTTCATCTGCTTTATCTTCTTGCTCACACCAGCTACACTTAATTTTCTTACTACTTCTTGATTATACCAAGCATCCCCTTACCTCAGAATCTTCACATTTGATTTTCCCTCTGTAATGAAAACTTTCTTATGCTTATGCCTTTACTTAAAGTTTCTAATTGAATGTCATCAAAAACCTCCCACAACCACCTACATAAAAGAACACCACTTTCTTTGATTCTCTGTTCCCTTTAACCTGCTTTACTTTTACGACAAGACACTTACACCCATCTAAATATTTATTTACTTTAAAAAGTTATCTAGGTCTTTCCACTCACCACTTTCAGAATATAAGTTGGATGAGAACAAGAATTTTCTTCTGTTTTGCTTCTAGCTATACCCCTTTGTCAAGATAGTATCCGAAATACAGTAAATGTTCAAGTGTTTCTGCTCTTCTAATAAGCAAGTCAAAAAGGCAGATTTTATGCCAAGTTTTAAAATATTGTAGGAATATATATTGTAGGAATAAATGAGTCTATAACCAATGAATTAAGTCTTAAAAGGAGAGCACACTAACTCAGGAATGAACAAACTTTATAGTATTCAAGTAGTTAACTGCAAACTGTGGTCAAACTTTCAGTAACAATAAAATGAGCATAATACTGCCCTTATACCCTTATGGCATCGTAGTACTTATTAATCTCCACAGTATACTTGACCATTAATAATCTCTTTAGTTTTGTTACTAAGTTTAATAACTAGTTATGTCTTTTCCCTCTTCCTACAGAAATATCCTGAAATTTTTTCCCCAAAGACTAAGGATGTTTAAAATATAATTGTCTATACTGATAATTGTAAAAAGCAATTATTCTGAGTTAATTAAAATTCTGAAAAAGAGTTAATTATGTATTTAATGATTAAAAGAGTGGCTATGCATATATTTGCCTTTGTTAAATATTGATTTAAGGATTCCTAATGTGTTTTATAACATGCAATTTTGAGAGTAGATTGTGTACAGCAGAAAACATTTGGTATCATAATAATCTGATTTCTTTACAAACACAGTGCACAAGTCCACTGGTAAACATTTAAATAACTTAGAGTAAATATATTCTAGACATCATATAATTTATTACTATGGGCTCCAGGCTCATAACTAATTAAATTTGAATTTACTAACTACTACCTAACTACTACACTAAGGTATGAACTTCACATGTATTTCAACTTCAAGAGGCAGCAAAACTGAACTACCAAAAGGAGTACAAATAAAGGCAGAAAAAGATTTCCATTTATTATTCAACATACATTTCATGAGCACCAACTACGTGGTTATTAAGTACACTATTCCAATTTCTATCCACCTGAGTTAATTAAAAGTACTTCCAGATTAAAAAGAAAACACTAAGATACCCACATGGCACAGCAGACCTCTCCTATTTCCCTGCTACTCCCCTGAGCAGTGTACTTAATTGATCTGCTGTTCTGCTCCCCATTCTGTCTCTGGTGAATCCTCTCACCCCCTGCACCTCTGACCTGTACCCCAATTCTGTATGTATAAATAAATAAATCTTGAAAAAAAAGATACAATGTTGAATTCATTATCTTTAAGGATTTTCACTAAGTGCCAGCCAAGAGTATTGCAACTGTGCTAAACTGGATTCATGTAGTACCACGTATTAAGACCTTGCACTAACTTAAACACTGAGTTTCTCTTTCTTCAGGGTTCGTTTTTTTTTTTTTAAAGATTTATTTATTTATTCATACAGAACTGGGGTACAGGCCAGAGATGCGGAGGGTGAGAGGATTCACCAGGGACAGAGTGGGGTGCAGAACAGGCAGATCGACGAAGTATACTGCTCTTCAGGCTTCTTTTACCTGAAAAATGAGAATACTGCCCTTATGCTGGAGAGCTGGTATCATATCGCTTATTAATCTCTATAGTATACTTGACTATTAATAACAGAGACTGATATTAGCTTTTTCACTAAAGTTTTAAACTATTATTTGAATAACTTAAGTTTTCTTGAATTCATATCTAAGTAAATTCCTTCAAAACAGAAATTGTGATATATTTTTCAGAACCTTCTATTAATAGCTTACTGCATTAATGTACCGTATATTTGGGAAGTAGGTATGAAGACTTAACTTTTATAAATACATAGTTTCTACTTTTGTGTGAAAACCAGTTGAAATTGGTAAGAGTAAGATGATGAATTATAATGTGTTTTAAATTGAACTAATGGAATGTCAACAAATTATAGCTTGATCTACCAGTTAAAAGCCGGAGTATCAAATCAAACTCCTTACCAGTTCCTCTTACTAAATGAATGTCTATTATATGACAGGGCCAGTATAGGCATTTTTTACACAACAAACTGCAATCCAGTAGATGAGATTTTATTTGCAGAAAATAAGTAACAAATGTGCAAAATAGTACTGTGAATTCTTTGCAGAGAGAGCTGTTGTCTTATAAGGTCTTTTTTCCAAAAGATAAATTTGAACAAGCTTGTTTATAACCAACTGTTTTTTTCCTATAACCTGTGAGCCAGATTGAAAAAAGTCACAAGGAATCATAACAAGAAATCAAAAGAATGGGGGGATATTACAAGAACTATATTACTATAAAAACTATAGCTAGAAAATCCAAAGAGACTTAGAGCAAATATTAGAAATAACAATTTGAAGCTAACTGGCATAAGACCTACATATAAAAATAAACTATAAATCTATCTACAGCACCAAAAGTCAGAAAACAATTTTAAAGATAACATTTAACACGCCCCCCAACACACATGATGGTTGCACACATGTACAAACTAACACACACACAATATTTAGTAGATTAATGAAATAGATAAAATAAATGTGGGTTGTATTTCAGTCATCTGTTGCTATATAACACATTCCTCTAAAACTTAAGAGCCTAAAACCACTATTTGATTTTGTAGATTGAAAGTTTAGAAAGCCCTCAGTTGGGTAGTTTCCACTTAGTCTCCATATGGTTGAGTCAGCTGTCAGCTGGGGCCACAACCATCTGAAGGCTTGGATGCACTGGATGTCCAAGATGTCTCACTCTGACGTCTGGCACTTGAGGCTGGTGGTTGCTAAGAGCTGAGCTGTGGCTGGGGCAACCTATTGTGTGTGGGTCTCAGGCTACTTGGACATGTCACATGCCAGCTAAGTTCCCCCAACACAAGCATCCTCAGAGAACCAGTGGAAGCTAGATGGCCTTTTCTCACCTTAGAAGTCCAGCAGCATTACTGTTGGCTCAGCTCAGATTTAATGGGAGGAGACGACTTTGAAAACACCCATTATTTTATACTGCTAGTGTTGGTGTGATTTTTAGAAAGTTGACTGCTAGAGGATAAGCCATTATATCATTTGGCTTACATAGAGGAAATTTTGATAAAAGGAGTCAATACCTTAAAAATATACATGAATTTGATTCAGTAATTCTTGCTAAAAATGTATCCTTAAGGAAATAGCTAGTAGGGTATTTATCTTATCAAAATTTTCTTAAAGCTGTTATTTTTCATATTGATTTACTAAAAACAATCTAATAGCCTTACCTGAACTGTCCGTCCTGCATTGATATGCTCTTCATGTAACTTGTCCCAGATTCTGCATCTTTGATACTATGTAAACAAGAAGGGAGAAGGTTTTTGAAGGATTTTTAAATCACTAGAATGATTATTTTTAGTTATTGCAAAATACCCACTCACCTAGAAAATTTAAATGGACTCAGTAGTGGCAGGAAACAGTCTAAAGGCCACATAAGTAGAAAGTTTTCAAAAACATTACATACATTATTCTAACCCAAAAAAATGGCCATCCTACCCAAAGCCCGTACAGAAAAAAGTATGGTAATTCCTCAAAAGACTAAAAATGGCTTTGCCATATGACCCAACAGAGTATATATATATATATATATATATACAGCACTATTCTAGAATGACTCACTAGCCAGAGTTACCAGTGACAGGTAACCAGGTGGATGTGTAGGACAGGATCAAAGGCAGAAAGATTTGTTGAGAGTTTATGTAAAGAAGAGGTACTCTGCCAGCCACCCTTTCCACGCGCCTAAGCAACTGCATAACCTCTAACACCACAAAAGACAAGGCTTCCAAAGAATGCCTGATTCCTCATTAAAATAAATCTTCGATTCCAGACACCAACACCCCCTTTCCTACCATGGTACCCATCAACCCTCCACCTCCCCTCCCCCACACAAATATTTTCCCATTAGCACTCTTAAAGATCAACAACTGGCCAAGGGAAGTCTATGACGCTATAGTTTTAACACAAAAAAAGAAAGGAAAGAAGAAAGGGAGGGACAAACAGGAGACTAAGAGAGAAGAGTAAAGAAACACAGACAAGGATGCAGAAAAAAATCGCAAAAAATAATACCACTACCACTGAGAGATGATATGATACTGTATCATCAAACAAGAACAGGAATGATTTTGCGTATTTATTTATTTTTAAGCTGTGGAGTGAGAAGGCTGACCCATGGTGGTAACTTCTAGTCCTGGCTGGTCTAGGGCAGTAGGCAGAGGAAGGTATCTTTTTAAACCAAGCTCTCATTTCAATGTACAAAAGAATCTGATCAATATTAAATTAAATTGAAAACAGGATGAAGTAAAAAGCAACAACTATTCTACAGTGGGGTGGAAATGGGAGGAAGGAATGAGTCCTTCGAAGGCAAATGGAATAAACCAGAGAGCAGGCCTGTGGCTGTGGTCCCTCATGTTACCCCATTCTCACATTTGGTGGTCTTTCAAGGGAAAAAAAGAGAATTAAGGAAAAGAAACATAGCAAGAAAAAATATAATTCTGATTATTTCATCTCAACAAGTAGCAGGAACGTGGACATGACAGGTGGACTGAAGCAGTCATGTCACATGCAAGGCAGAAATGAGCGGAGGACCACAGAACAAGAGAGAAAGAGCCTGGGTCTTTACTGCCTGTTGAGCTGCCACTGTAGCACTAGATGACCCCTAGAACTATGAGAAAGTAAAAATAACAGCAAAATAAGAAGCCAAAAACTTGTATTTAACACATTATTTTGGGTTTTTCTGCCACTACCACCTTAACGGTACACTAACCAATACAGCACATGCTATACAAGTTTTTCCTGGACACCTACAATATGAAACAGAAAACTGTGTGCCACACTTACTGTCTTGTCATTCTTAGTAACTATGCTTAAGTCTTAGATTTGCCGGGAGAGGGGGGTGGGGAATGGTTGGATGCTAACACTTCAAATTTCAGGATTATATTCTAATCAAGTCTATCTTGTGTAATAAAGTGTAATGCTGAAGGACCTATGGAATATAGTCCCAGGTGTCCACAGCACACTGCTGTCATTGTTTTCAGATAGTGCAGAATCACTCCACTGAGGCTTACCTTCAATTTCCCTTCAGTCTTACTTTTTTCTTTTAAATTCATATTGGATGACTGATGGCTAACATAATAAATATTTTATCTTTCTACACCCTTCCCCCAGGAAGAATATGCCTTTTTGAAAGTGAGGTATTGTAAGACACCTGGAGTCCAAACTTAGTTCTTAGCTCTTTTGTCCTGAGTAAGCATAGCAGCTTTTAAATATTTTTACATTGCCATAAAGTAGCTATTAAAATATGCTATTCAACATTATAAAGATTAAAAAGTCACTTTATAATTAAACTAGAAATCTTAGGGACAGTAGAATGATCACAGATATGGAGTAAAACATAGATCAATGTGAGTTTTAAGTGCTTAATTTCAGAGATCACCTGTACTATAAGTTACAAGTATTCTAAAATAGTATGGAAACTTCACAATAAGTAAAAATTTCACAAAATGCTAAAGGAAAAATGTTCTGGCAGAGAGATGTCAACATAATTCTGGAATAATTTTCTTACGATGTGTAGACCAACTAAATCAAACACGAATAGGGCCATTCTCTATTTCCAACCCACTCTTTCCCTGGGTGCAGGCTTTTCAGTTGAGTGATTGGGTGGTATACATGGCTCAGACCTGAGGGTTATGGCTTTTGTATGGAATAAATATAACACAAGGGAAATCTGAGATATGGCAACTCTCAAAGGTAAAATAGGACAATAAAGGAAAGACATGATCTTAACAGGCCACCTCTTATTTTTAACTCTGTGAATAAATTCACCTGTCAAATTCTTGTTATCATTGTGACTGAGCACTTTAATGTGAGCTTAGGACTTTGAAACACATCTTATCAAGCTTCTTACCCGGATATTATCAATTGAAAGCAAACAACTCTACTGCTGTATAGTTATAGAGCTAAAAGAATAAGTCCTCCCATTAATCAAAGTGTGAGACTCTTTCATTTGTTTATGTTCATGACAAGAATAACCAGTTTACCACAGAACTCCTACATCTTTAAGAGTCACATACTTACTGCTTATGGATAAAGAAGAAAAAAATTAAGGCAACATGTTAATCTTGAATTCTTAATATTCTTGGCACTTATTTCCTACATGTTTTTAAAAATACTTAAATTCTCAGAAGACTGATGGTATCTATGGGGGTATAAATGGGCACTTATTGTATAAGGTGATAGTGTTTCTACTGAAAAGGCTGAATGACCACTTCTACACCCAAGTCCGAGAAATCAGTTGATGGACGTACAGCTTCAAATTTATTCTGGAGAAAGTCCTTTTGAAGCAAATACCACTGACTGTCCCGCAGCAAGTATAGCAGCATAACCTGCCAAATACATGCCTAATACTCAGCATACCTGATGCTTACACATGTGCCACAAACACTCCACCAGACTCTGGCCAGTGCAGTTTCTATGAAATCTCCACCACAGGCCTTGAAACTAATTCCTCCCTCACCATTTTCTATACTGATGTCTAGGCAATATTTCTCACTTTGAGGGTTTCCTTAAATGGAAGCAGTGAAGTTGGGGATTTCTTTCATGTAACACAATGATTTCTCTCTTAAATCTATGCTAACCTGAAAAGGATATGAGTTACTGATAGACACTCAAAATACAAAAACCTTGCCAAAGTGTAGATAAAATTAAGGTAGGAGTCTTAGCCAAAGTTCTCCCTCTTTGTATCATGGTGCACTGTCAAACAGTTTATGTTTTAATGATTAACTGCCTAATAAGACAGTATATACACTGAAAAGGAACATATTCTATTCTTCTATTCCACCGTTAAAAAAAGGAATGAGCAACATATTTGTAGAACATAAAAACTGGATGAAAAAATAACTTGCACTGCTAAATTACAGTGGAGCTAGATATTTAGCAAAGGCTCTTATCTGTTCATCTCAATTTAACTGAAACTGCAACAAATGTAAATCAGATAATGTAACTAGTTGTTGGAACATAAAATGAAAAAAAAAACTCACCTTCTCAATATTTATCTGGTGCTTTCTTAACCTCTCCAGGTCTGTTGGAATTACTATTTTGGTAAACTTCTGGATAGCTGGCTCAAGACGGCGTAATTTCACTTTTTCTTCATCTTCAGACATCCTAAAAAAATGTTGTGTCACTTCTACTTGCAACAACTGACTTCTCCACTCATATAGAAAAATCTAAAAGGGAAATATTTAAGACTATTTTTAAATCAGTTTACTTTTATTTTTAAAAGCCAACAATTAGGCAATTCTATAATTTATTCTAAATACAAATTCAACTTAATGTTGAACTTGAAGGACTTGCTTTCTGTTTATGAAGTCTTTTTTTTTCTCTTTACAAAAGTAAGGTATGTTTACTTTACAATGTTTAGAAAATGTGAAAAGGAATAAACAATTATCTCCTCACCCATAGTTAATGATTCTTCCCACTTTGATGTCTGTCTTTCCAGGTCTTTTCTACGTAAGCGTGTACATACGTATGGACTTTTCTCCTCCCAGTTTTCCCCCCTTTGTTGAAGTAACCCTGGTTTACAACATAATATATGATTTAAAGGAAAAGGTTCACACTTCTTCAGACGTATGTCACCCTCCCCCACCATCCTAGCACCCACACTCCTGTACCATAGGTTGTCAGACTCCACCCCCCCTTCTGTCTCTGTTCCTACCCCACTCCCCCTTTCCTCCTAGCAGCCTCATTTCTAGGGTTTATTTGGGTTTAGTTTTGTCAGCTCTTTTTAGTGTTTCTGTTGTTTTTTCTATGTTCCACGTGTGAAACCATCCAGTGTTAGATATCTTTAAAAAAAAAAAAAAACCGGTAGGAGTCTACTGTCTAAGTTTTCATTTCTCAATGTAGCTTAGACACTGAGACATTCTTTTAAAAAGGTATCAAGTAGTAAAACTGGAAGAAGAAATTTCATTCTTAGTGTTTTGGCTTGTATCATACTCCACTTCCAGTGTCATCATAATGTAACTATATACTTCACACACATTGTAACATATAACTCTTCTCATTTATGTTAAGTTGCCTCTCACTGTCATACAAAGTGATGTACTGTGATGTACTGTCTACAAATGATACAAAAAACAGTGAGTAACAGGTTATTTCCCACTACTATAAACTGTATCATGGTATAAATGCCCTCTTATACACAAAGCCACACTATGATTAGTTCTTTAAAATAAAAATCTGGAAACAGAACTAATAGGTACACATTATTAAATAATTTTGACAGGAAATGTGATTGTGCCTATCAGTAAACAAATGTGGCTCACTGTTATTTTAAATTATTTACATTACTAATGGGATCGCTGGACTAGTCACTTGTGTGTCTTTTTCTGTGAATTAGCTGTTCATGCCATGATTCTGTTTACTATACTACAAGGTATGTCTTTTTCTTATTAATTTATAACATGTTAATATATGCTATATTCAATTGTTTGTGTAACATTAATGTGTCCAGGTTTATCACAGTCTCTTGCATTTTTTTCCTACTTTGTAGATTACATACAACAGGAAGATATCTTCACATCTGCCACCATTACTACTATGTTTCTGTACATAACCAATGCTTAAGAGATGTTGTCTTTTCTTTACCATTAAAATGTATATTTTTTAGATATACTCTCTCTCTTTCTCTGTATATGTGTGTGTGTGCGTATCACATCAGTGTTCATTTTTGTACACAGTTTGATTTTTCCTTTAAGGTGTAGTCTCCATTAAATTCCCACCACTAAGTCACTGTGTTCTTCACCATTTCTAATCCTATCACTCCAGCCAAATAGCACAATGTTAATAGCATATTACAGCAGTCTTAGACACGACTCTTCGCCATTCCCCCCCACATTATCAGCAATTGATGTATCTAAAACATCAATTAAAATATGCTCTTCTGAATAAAAACTTCCAAGCATTCCCTAATATTTGTGCAGGAAAGTAGAATGTTCCTGAGAAGATCCACTCTATTATTACCGAATCGCTATTTCTGTATTGATGCACTCTGTTTGCATGCTCTTTTATATCCATCTGTCTCTAAACTTTATGCATCCTTTAAGATACAACCCGTTTAAGTGTATTTAACAAACCACAGTTATTGAATATTTGGCTTGTTTTCTCTATTCCCCTGTACAATGAATAATGCTTTCTTTTTTGAGTTACAAAAGTGCTATTTCCAAGTCAAAGTCATGTATGACTCTGTCCCTCACTTCCCATGGTCCAGAAAAACCTGCTGCTCCATAAAGGTCATCTCTCAGGGAAGACATCCTGTACCAAGAAGCTCCCAAAAGATGATTCCAACTTTTGGTTTCCTTCTAAATCAGTATTATTTTCTATCATTTCTGTTTTCATAAAATTATAATAAAATGTCTATATAAAAGAACATAACATCCAAACATTTGCATAAATCATGTTATTGAAACAGAAAGCTGTCCCACAGCGGCTCTAATCATAAAATAGATCCAATGTTTTGAAGCTTTTATGGGAAGGTCTTAGCTCAATATACAAGCATGGTTTAAACCAAAAATATGGTTTAAAAGAATGAAAGTGTACATCAACATTTCTTAATTTTTCAGTCAGAAAATTGCAACATATTTCTGAATAAAATTAAAATGTAAAATATCTACATTAACTTTAACATCACAACATAAAGTATGCATATGAAAAAGACAAAACACACAAAAGCATTCTTTTCCCCAAACTTCTGTAGAGCTGCTGTATTACTTAAATATTTGGAGTGATGGAATTATTCTGTATGATAACAGTGGTGTTGAATACACAATTATATGCATTTGTTAAACTCAGAACTAAATACCACAAAGACAACAGAATGTAGGGGAGCCCAAAACGGGATAAAAATTATAAAAAAGAAAATTAAATGTATTGCAGATGAATAGCATCACCACACTGAAAGAAGTGGTGGAAGAAAATAATCTAGGTAACTTTGGAAAACAGTATTTTAATTGGATACTACAAAATTAAAGATAAAAAGAATTGTCCACAATTATACTCTACTTAGTAAATCTGTTTCTCATAGACATATGGGTTAGAAGCTCTGAAGTTACTTTATACATATACTAGGGCTGAACTAATCCTACCAAGGAAATAGCTTATAGCTCACGTAAACCAGATTTTTCTTTGTCAAAGAAAGAAGCTACCAATAATGGGCAAAATTAGAATAAATCTTGTAGCACTAGATTAGAATTGGGGGGTGTTAGATGAAACTTTGATTATTCAAATATACAAGTGTATTTCATAGGTATACAGATAAACACAAAAATAAATACAAATCTTCACATAAGCATAGATATATTTGTGATTGTATTTCTGTTGAGTATGTAAAGATATAGATCAATAAGAAATGTGTATATGTATACACCAAAAAGACTAACAGCCACAGTGTATATGTGTGAATACAATATGTATATATATGTGTGTGTGTGTCTTAGGTGGCTTCTGTCAGCCACTAGAAGCAATGAAACTCCCATAACAATTAACACACTGAGCACCCAGACCTTGCAAAAAAGGAGCAGGGATATTTGAAGAAAAGCATGACTCTAGGGCAGGGTTAGAAAAAAAACACAAGATAAAAAACCACAAGATAAAAAAAACACAAGATAAGCTTGGAGTATCAGAGGTCAAAAGGATGGGGACCTGTTGAGAGGACACTCAATGAAAAAAATTCTCAATGATCAAAGCTGGGACAATTTGAGACAGAAAATAATGAAAGTGTAAAGCAATCATCAAAACAAATAAACATAAGTCCATAGTGATACAAATAAATGAGTAAATAAATAAATGGGAAGAGGCAGTTTTTCCTTACAAAACTCCAATAAATAAATGCGATAAACAGAGAATCACCATCAGACCATGTCAGTGAAAACTACCTAGCACAAGAGCCATCAGTGGATGCTAAACGTAGCAAATAAAAATTTGAGACCAGGACATTGACAGTTTGAGTTCTCCCTAAAAACCCTAATTACAAAGGGAAAAAACTGTAACTTTACATTAGAGAATCACAGCAGTTCTCATCTTAACCAAGTGATGGAGAATATCAAAAGCACTAAGTCATATCTTTTTTGATATAATGAACTGAAAAGTCACCTAAACGTCCATTATATGGGCTTTTAAATGCATGACTTAGTCTATCGTGAGAAAATATCAGACAAATGCCAACTGAGGGACACTCTAAAAAATAACTGACACGACTTTGCAAAAATATAAAGGTCATAAAAGATAGAAAAAGACTGAGAAGCTGCTAAGGAACAGAGGAGACTATGAAGCCAATACAACTATAGGCAAGATGAAAGATCTTAGACTGGGCAAGATCCATCAGTTAATATTTCCTTCTCAGCATTCTTCAAAGCAGCAATAGTTTCATTTACAGGATCTTACATGCTTCGCAAATATAGGTAAACAAATGGAAAATCAATACAATTTGAGAGAACATGAAAAAAGAGCAAGGCGGTAGTCTTTATGAGCTGATACAGATCACAGATCATTGATGCCATCTCACCCCTTAAACAGTGATATTTTCAAAGAGTCGATCACAGGGAATGATGTTATTTTCTTGGTTTTGATTTTAAGAATTGTTATATAACTACAGTTATATAAGGTGTTAACATTAAAGGAAAATGACACTTTCATAACTTTTCTGAAATTTATAAGCTTTTTTAAAATGCATGAATTGATGTATCACATATGACAGGTCAAACACTTTGAAGTCAGAACTGCAATCCCATTCACTTGCATGGAAGGGGTAGGGTGTGTGCCAGGTGCTTTACAAACTTTATCTTTGGGTGCTTATAACTAGTATCAGCCGAGTATCATCACACTCAAGTTTCCGAATACGAAGAGGTCAACTAAACTACTTAAGTGAAAAGCCATATTTCTCAAAATTAAGAGTCCCAAATCGCTGGCAACCCCACCTTGCAGCACTCCCACCGGCCTAGAGAGCCCACACTTCGACACTGCCGGTACCGGATTTCCTCAGGCCCGTGAGTCTTGGGGGACAGGGTCCAGTACTGAACTGAGAAAGTAGAGGCAAAAGCCCTTGGTCCTACCGTATGTTATGTTCTCTTCTGTGAGCCTCCCATCCCGAATTCATACAAGGAGGGAGTTAGATAAGGGACCTGTCGCGAATCGTCGCCCCATCTGGTTGGCGGGAGTCCCAACCTCTCGCGATCGGCCGTCCCCCCAGAGTCCCCAGCCTCGAGGTCATCCCTTGAAGAGTCCCAGGAGCACCTGGGCCACACAAACCAAACGGCACCTCCAGCCAACAGATGCGCGGCCCGGTCCCGGGACGCGGAAGCCGGCAACCCTGACGAGCGAGGGTCAGTAGAGCAGGCGCTGCAAACTTTCCACCCCAGGAGCCCCGGGGACCCTCAGTCTAGTCCCACCGCAGGCTCCCAATATTCGCTGCCCAAAACGAAACCGCCACTTCTTGGAACTGGGAGGAGCCCCCACAGCGCTAGCTCTTCGACCTGATACCCCGCTTCTCACCGAGCGCCTACTCAAAGCGCCTACTAGGCGCGATGCCCACAGCGCCAGCCAGGGCCTGATGCCCCCGAGGCAGCCGCCCCCGAACCCCTTACCTCCCGCCGGGCCGCCCCAGGCCGGTCGGTGCGCACGGCGCAGGCGCACGCGCGGCGGGGCGGGGCGATGGGCGGGGCATCCAGGGCCACGCCCCCGCCCCGTCCGGTCGTTCTCCTGGAGTGGCCCAGCCTGACGTGAGTAAGAGCTGTCTCTCTCAGGACCTCAAGAATCTTTTAAAAGTGTTTTTAATTTACTTAATGGTGCTGTCGCCCTGAAACTTGGCGGCAAGCGACTCATAAACTCTTGTTAGGCCTGTTTGTTGTGTTTCAAGTTAGGTCTGTTGTGTTTCAAGTATGAGACAGTTCACACTTCACTTCGCGAAACCTTGCAGTTCATTTTCCTCTGTTCTAACAGGAATTTCATTGGCAGTCTAGACGGGTTTTCTTAGCACTTTAAACCTGTAGAAACGGAAAGGTTGTGGCTTCTGTCTCAAGCACCCCCAAAATCTCGTGAGTTGAACAACGCACAAGCCTTCCCCGAAATAGGCCCAGGAAGTGAAGCTCAAATTGTGATAGCCCCAGCAAAATCTTGTGGCGTCCTTATACTAATGATTTATGCCAATTTTATTGAGAATGACACGGAGGAGCAAAGCTTTAAGTGACTCACTCCCGTCCAACCGGTTAGCCACAGAGTTGGCACTCCAACTGGGTTTAATTTCCGTCCCAAGTTCTTCCAGTTAAGCCACCTGTTGCCAGTGAACGAGCAGATGGCTAGCTTTGAAGCCCTGTCCAGGTCACAAACCCTCCTTTCTGAATAACCTAACTCCCAGACCCAGTCTGTTCTATGTGTTTGAATAGTCAGGTGATTTATAGTTTTGTCGTCAGAAGTCATAAGGATGTTCACGTCAAGGCCAAGGAAACTCATTTCTTAGGGTCTTCCAGTAGAGTGGGAATAGAGATAGAAATTGTGCACCAAGGAAGATTAAGGGCCTGTAACAATGCCTTGAAAGTTCATTTTTAAAAAATTATTATTTTTTAATTTAATTTTTTAAAAGGTTCTTAGTGTTGCTCATTTTTGTACAGTAATTAGTTTCTCCCTTCAGAATGTAGCCTCCATATTTCTCATGCCACCTAACCACCCGTGAACCATCATGTATTCCCTGTAGTTTGAAAGTTCATTTTTAAAAAATTATTATTTTTTAGTTTAATTTTTTAAAAGGTTCTTACAGTGTTGCTCATTTTTGTACAGTAATTAGTTTCTCCCTTCAGAATGTAGCCTCCATATTTCTCATGCCACCTAACCACCCGTGAACCATCATGTATTCCATGTAGTTTTCCCTCCCTTGATGCCCTCCTCCCCTTGCCTTATGCGTCAGATCTATGGTCAACTTAACTGGTGTTGTCTTTTCTTGACCTTTTGTTTGTTTTCTCTATATTGTGCATATAAGCGAGACCATTCAATATTTATCTATTTCCTTCTGACTTATTTTGGCCAGCATTATCCCTTCTAGCTCCATCCATGGTGCCACAAATGGCATGGGTTTGTGTTTTTTGATCACTGAGTAATATTCCATTAGGTATATATATATACTACAACTTTGGATCCATTTGTTTATTTGGGGGCATTTGGGTTGCTCCCAGATCTTGCTTGTTGTAGATAGTGTACAATAAACCTAGAAATGTAGGTTCCTTTTGAATTAGTGTTCTTGTGTCTTTTAGGTAGATTCCTAGGAGTGGAACCACTGGATCATGTGACAGAAACATTTTTAGTGTTCTGAGCATCCTCCACACAGCTTTCTAGAGTGTTAGACTAGCTTACATTCCCACCAGCAGAGTAAGGAGTTTTCCTTTATCTTCACATGCTCTGCAGCATTTGTTGTTTCCAGCTTTTTAAAATGTGTTCCACTCTCACTGGTGTGTGCTGGTATCTCATTGTGGTTTCAATTTGCATTTTCCTGATAACTAGTGTTGTTGAACATTTTTTCATATGCTTGTCGGCTACTTGCATATGAAGGGCATTTCTAATATAAAGCACTAAACAACTGGGAGGAGGGAGTAATAATGAATGCTGATGTGTTACAAACTCTAGGAACTAGCTCTAGGGATGAGGTGCTCATAAATTTCTAATGTCAAGGAGAAAAATATAAAACACTAAGGGATACCCTGGGGAATATTTTTTAATGCAAAGATTGGTTAAACAAGATCTAAAGTACAGGCCATTGAAGTTAAGTTCTGAAAACGCTTCCACAAGTGAAATAGGGGGGTGTGGTACATAAGAATTCTAAATTTGGGTAGAGTCTTATAGGTTATTATGTGTATATTTATTATAAGTAAAGTGCGTCAAGATAGTAAGATAGACACACCTCACTGTTTTTAACCTAACAGTTGGTTAGCTTGATTTATTATCTTTAAATATTTAGACATATGGTGTGTGGCCCTCCCTGTGTACTCTTGCCCGGGCCCTGAAGTTGTTAGGGACAGACACACTCTAACTAGCCAATATTTTCTTGAGATCCAAATAGTAAAAAGATTAAAATATATAATAATAAAATTTTTGTAAACTGTAAATATAAATACATATATGTAGTTATTATTTTGTTTGACCTTCCTGATTCAGTGTTTAAACACCACTTTCACATATATACAGACCTACGGGGATGAATTAAAACAAATTCAGAAAGAATTAGCTTTCCTAAGCAACAGTCATCACTTTAAAAATATAGTGGGAGAAAAGAGCACATTCAAATCCAGTGGAATGTATAAAAGAAATAAGAATTATAAATGGGGGAGGGAAGGTTGGAGGGACTAAAAAGGGCATTGTGGTACTGGTCTCATATGTCAAAATTTACAAAACTGTACATTTAAAGTATGTGTATATGTGTTTAGTGACAGTCAGTTATGCTGGAATAGTGAATTGCTCCAAGAGCAGTTGATTCAAGATGGAAGAAAATAAGATACCTTTTCTAGAAGTTTGGGATCAGGACTAAGATTCTAACTTTAGTCTGGTTGATTCCTTGAAAGTAGAAAATATTTATGGCAGAGCTCTGTGTTTATCTATTTTTTTTACTCCATATTTTGGTGAGTGAGAGGAAGGCATGGTGCATATAGATCCCATTTGTAAATATAGAGAAATACAATTTGTATGTCCTTGGTCATTGTGTATAAAGGAGGAGAGGGCTCTTTACCATAGGTTTTGTTCAAGAGACATTTAGAAGCTTCGCTAGGTTCTTTCTTTAGTCATGAATTATTGAAATATCTACTGCAGTTCTGAATGCATTCTATTTCTTTGTGCATCCTATCATTCCAACCATTTTGTGAACTGAAACAAAGTTAAAAATAAAGTGACAATTGTGATTACTTTGGTGATAGGATTAACTGGGACAGGGAGTCAATAGCTTTCTGGATTGATGAAAATATTCTATGTCTTGATCAGGTCTGATTACATATGTGAAAATTCATCAAGCTGTACACATAAGATTTGTGTGCTTATGTTATATATCACAATAAAAATGGAAAATAAAGAACCAGCAATTCTTGATTTAAAACAAACAAAACCTCTTAGTAAACTTCCTTAATATAGTTAACACTACAGGAATACTTCCTTAATATAAAGTATGTTACCTCTCTGAAGTAGTGGTAAAATAGCAACAGTAATCTTTACCCTTTGGCCCCTTTGAAAAGATGGTGAAAAAACCGTGAAAGAAAGTGGAAGGAGGTGAGAATGATTAGATGCACAAAAAAAAAAAAAGAAAAAGAAAAGAAAAGAAACAATATGGTGCACATTGAAATTCTTCATTCTAGTAGGCTCCTGAGGCTTAGCTGCATCCCAACATCCAGTCTGGTTACACACCCAGGCCTGCTAGCTCCTCCTTCGCCCCCACCTTTGCTTTCTGGTTAATTGCTTAAACGAGCTCAGGTGAACTGTTGTATGACTTTCGATCCAAAGAACTTGAATTGTTGTAGACACAAAATCCCATTTATTTGTGCTATCTTATGATATGATTTTAAATTTATATGACTGACTTTAGTACTGAATCCTCTCCACTGTCTGTTTTACTGTTTGTTTACCCCACTCTACACACACAGCACCACTATCACCGTCATTACGCAGTGCTTTCTCATATATTAAGATAATAGAGACCTTTTAACAAACTAAAAGGGGCAAACTCTGCAGGCCAACAGTAACACCAGAATATTCCACTCATCAGCCATTTACCACTTAGGAATGAATGCCCAGGCATCTGTCTACATACTCTCCCTCACCTCCCCCTTTTTAATTTTTATTCCTTTAATTACCCTCAAAACTTTGCCTAATTATGATAGCACTGTGTGTGCAATTTAAGCAAATTTGAAGAGTAAGTTTTACTCTAAAATTTTCTTTATTAGTGACTTTATTTTTCATGTTTAGTGTCATAATATTAGTTTATAACATTATCACTCTCTAATTCCTCACACCCACATTCCTCACCATCCAAATTGCCTTCAAAAGGCAATTACTACAGCTTTACTACACTTGCAGTTAAAACACATAAGTTGTGTTAACTTTGGCAATTTATAAGGCGCCTTGAATGTTGTGATGTTATTATCATGAATGTCAGTATCACTTGATAGAGATACAGACATGCAAACTGCTAGATATTCTATATGGGCCCAGTCTCTAACTTTATCTCTCACTACTCAGCCTCACACAACCTCTAATATATTCAAACTCAGCTCCTCAGTATTTTTCATACCAGCCCTTTTCCCAGTCTTATCCTTTTCTTCCCACTGGAATATTTTCCGCCAGTTGCCACTTTCTGTCTATACTTCCAAATCCTACTCATCTTTCGATGTTCACTCCAAATGTCATCTCTCCTAGTATTTTTAGGATTTTTAGACTTAATGCCCTTTTCCTCCAAACACCTGCTTTGTAATCTGATCCTTTTTTTTTGACATATTCTCTACATTTTATTACAGTAAGTTGATATGTGTCCAGATTGCCACCTCCAGTGCTTTTCATCCTTTTTCCTGTCATGGCATAAATAGAAAATGATATGTGCAAAGCAAGCCTAAGGGAAATCTGCTGTCAGCCTTGCCTCTGGCTCAGTCAC